GAGGTACAACTGGCAGCTAAAGAGAAGAAAGCAGCGTTCAAGAAATGGCTGGGAAACAAGGAGCCGTCTACTCACGCCCGATATCTCGAGGAATGCAAGGCGACAGCGAAAGTAGCGGCGAAAGCCAAGGCTGATTCTTGGGAGAAGTTAGAAGTGGTGTTGGACTCGAATTTGCAAACGGCAAACAAAATGTTTTGGCAGACGATCCGTCGGCTCCGAGGTGGAAACAAGGGCGGTATCAGAGTCTTCAAGGATAGATCTGGACACTCTCTTACCAAGGATGACGACATTCTTCGGCGAATGACGGAGTGCTTTGAGGAACTACTTAACCCCGCACAACCGCAGGAAGACTCGCCTGTAGAGCAAAAGGGTACGGATATTTCTATCTCTGCAAATAAAGTTACACAAGCTGTGAAACGCTTGAAAAATTTAAAAGCTGCAGGAATTGACGAAACCCGCCCTGAGATGCTCAAGGCATTAGGCGAACAAGGCGCACGCTGGTGTCTGTTTAACTGCGATGACTGGGGGAAAGACATCAGTGGACTAGAGAACGGGTGTTATTGTACCCGTATTCAAGAAGGGAGACCACAAAGAATGCTCCAATTATAGGGGCATAACGTTATTGAGCCTCCCAGGTAGATTTACGCACAGGTACTAGAAAGGAGGTGCAGCGAAATAGTTGACCTCAAGATCTAAGGAGAGCAGTGTGTCTTCCGCCCCGCCGCCCGATAGTTGAGAAATCGTGGGAGTACGCCCATCTGGTGTACGTGTGTTTTGTGGAACTAGAGAAAGCGTATGATCAGATCCCACCAACAGTGTGTGGACATGTCTTCGTGCATACGGGATTGATGGCCAGCTGCTAAGCGCCATACAATCACTGTATTCTGATAGCAGGTACTGCGTCAGATTTAATGGCGTTAAGTCGAAATCATTCAATGTTCACACTGGTCTGCGTCCTGTCCCCCATCCCGTTTGTGTTGTAGATGGATAGAATAGTCAGGAGCGGCCAAGGCGATGAGTGTATCGCTGTAGGAGATGTGAAGACGAGAGGGTTGCTGTTTGCAGACGGCAGATCTCTGAAGCTGATCTTCAGTGTTCCCTAGAAAGGTTTGCAGCCGAGTGCGACGTGACCGGCATGCGTGTGAACGCATCTAAAACGAAAAGCCTATTGGTTTCTCGTTCTCCTGCCTGTTGCTTTCTTCAGATTAACGGAGAGGCAGTGGAGCAGGTAGAAAAGTTCAAGTACCTCGGAGCTGCATTTACTAGTGACGGAAAATTTGAGAGAGAGAACGGCTGGCGAATTGGAGTAGCCAGTGGCGTTCTGCATGTATTACCGGATCCGTTGTGACTAAAGCGGAACTCAGGCTGAAAACTAAGCTCTCGGTGTTCAAGTCGA